GCTTCAACTCCCCATTGCAGTCCAAAGGAAATATTTTTAGTGTAGTGCACCTGTACAGCAAGAACAGCAAAACGTGCTCTTCTTCATCTGGGCGACGCCCCCACAGAAGCACCACGCCCGAACTCGGCGGTTAAGAACATTTACTTTGCGTGTGCTATGAGTAGCTCACGTGCGATACAGGTGTATCGTACACGATTTCAAGTAGACTGTGCATGTTAGTAAAGCGATTTATTGTGTGGACGTATTGCTTGCATATAGAAGTATGTAATTGCGATGGTAGTGGCTTTGCCAAGTGGCGGGCGTGCAGGTGGTATGAAGAAGCCACATATGCCGAAGATATGCTGTGTTCGTGCGGTGCAAGCAGCGACTGCATTTCCCTAAAGTTGTGTGAAGCGCTTTATAGAAAGTATAACGCTGTGTACCTCTACAGAGCCCGAAGCTTTTCTGCTTTTTCTGCACGGCTAGGAAGATCTGTTTATTGCATGCTCGCTGTCGCGCCAGGGGGTAACTGCGGGCCGCAGTTAGCTGTGGCTGCAAGTAGCTGTGAATAGCTGTGGCTATTCTGCAGGGTTAGTTACAGAATAGCCACAGCTAACCAAAGATGCAGGTGACAGTTCTAGAATACAATCTTGGGGGAACGGGGAAGGCGTATCTGAACGATGGTAGAGCTCGTTGCGCAGGTAGGTGTGTGGTTTAGGGTTTAGGGTTTAGGGCTTTGCGGAGTTAAGGTAGGGAAGGCGCTGTGTTGGATGCAAAGCGCAATCGAAAAGCTGGCATACGCAAACCACTACGCAAGAAGGACTACGCAAGCAGGACAGACGCAAGAAACGACAGCAGGCAGGCAACAAGCGCAGGGACAGATAAAATGAGGGCTGCTTAGTGAACTGGGCTGCAGAGCCGTAACAGACTTTTGGTGGTGCTAGGGATCCGTGAAACTCGTATTCCGAACCGGTAAACGCGGGCTCCAACCACGCGGCGTGTGCGTTGAACGCTCATGCGTCTTCCTTGTTCAATCCTAGGGTCAGCTTGATCTTCGGACATAAGGTTTCCACTGTGTACTGGGGCACTCGTCCTCAGCGTCCGGAAAATTGAATCGCTCCATAGTTTTATGTAGAGATTTGTTAGCTGTTAGATCTCCCTGCTTTCGGCGGGCTCGTCTACGACGTAGTCCAGGTTGGCAGAGCTGGTGAATAGAACATGCCGACCAACGAGCTCTATATTATTATAGAGCAAGCTGAATGCAGGCATCACATCGAAGGGAACTGGCGAGTTTTTGTTCGCTGCAGAGTTGCGAATATAACGACAGTTCCAATATGCCGGCAGGAGGAAGCTCACAGGCACACGTGGTAGAGGCAGCCACACGGGCCACCTCCGGCCCGACGTCCCTCTGTCAGTTTAATTTGTAGGGGAAAGTTGAGGAAGTAGCTCAAAACTGTCAGTGCCCTAGAACGTTTATGCACGGGTTGCCAATTTGAAACTACCCAAACGGCCTAAATTCTAGGTAATGCCACAGGTGGCACTGACTGATTTAACTGCATCCCCGTGCAGGTGGGAAAGCAATGTTTTAGGAGACAAATACGCAGAACCATGCTTCGGGCCTCTGCATATTTGCATTCGACAAGAAGCTCGAAGCTTGTGAAATGTCGTTGCTGCAAAACGGCGACTATTCGTTTTATGTTTCCTTCTTTGTTGTATTATGGCTATGCGTGTCAGCGTTCGTAAATACCTGTGTATGTTCAATCCCTAATGCTCCTGCTTTTCTATGTATGCGTTTGCGTCTGCATTTGTGCATGTGGGTGTTTATATGTGGTCCCCTGTGGCGCGCTTATTTGTAGTCGTGTGTGCGCATGTGACCTTGTGCTCCGTGCGTTTGTTTTCTTTGTCCCAATGGGTTCGCGCTTGCTTTTGCTCTGGTTGGCTACTGGACATGCAGGGACGGTAAGGCATCAGCGCTCTCTGGAAACGACTGAATTTGCAACTGGATGCGTCTCCGTATTCCTATCTGCATTTGTACTTATTATTACGCTCCTGTTTACCTCAGCATTTGAATTTTGATTGGTGTCTATCTGTGTATATGTGCCGTTTGGTAGCGGCTTGCGGATCCATCCTGCTGCAATAGAGAGGTCCAGTGGACAGGCGTCGAGTGTCCCGTTGACAGCTCGTCTTCCGATGGCCTGTGCAATTAATTTCTGTTGTACTTCCTCCAACCTGTTTAGAAGAGCTTGTAAGTGTGGCACGCGTT